TGTGCCAGGCAGCAAGACCCAGGGAAGGTGTGGGCAATAGTTCCTGCAGTCAGACACGAGAGGCTTATTCCCAAAGAAGGGGACAGATGGTGGCCTGGGTAAACCCCATGGTCCCGCCTGTCTTCCCAGGCCGGGGCACATGCTGTTACACACCCCGAGTTTGAACCCAAGATTTCCTGGAAGGGCCCGAGTGGTTTCCAGAGCGTCCACTCCGGCAGGGACACGGGCAGGGGCCTTCCTCAGTCAATTACTAGAGTAGCCGCCTAGAACTTTCCCCTCCACTTCATTCCTCACTGTTTCAGGCCAGGTGAGGTCGACTCCCCAAAGACTGGACCCCATCTCGCAATACGCCCGTGGGCCCTTGTTTTCAAATAATAAGATCTCACGGGTATTAAGCACATACGAAGTGCCAATTCCTGCATCAAGCATTTCATTACCTGATTGTCTCGTTTAACCCTCAAAACACCCCTATCAGGTAAGTAACATTATAGTCTCCATTTTACAGATGAGGAAACAGAGGTTCAGAGAGGGCCCCTGACTTGCCCTGAACCCCGACTCCAAGGCCAGTGCTCTGCCCACAGCTGGCACTGACCCCACCAACCCGGAGGGTGTCCCTTCACGCTGCTTCTCCCTCTCCCGCCAGCCTCTGCCAAGAAAAGCCGGGGAAGTTTGTCAGAATGTGTTGGGAGTGGGAAGAAGGGGCAGCTGGGTCTCCCTCTGGGCTGGGGATTCCTGATCCGCAGCCCTGGGGGCAGGAAGGATCCACCGCCCATCAGGCCCGAGATCTGGGGAAGTCTCAGAGCCCCCCCTTCCCTTCTCCCCGGGCTAAGATCCAGTCAGCCCCAGCCCCAGCCCCAGCTGGAGAACAGCCTCTGCGTGGGAGCTGGGGCCTAGAGCGCCTGGCTCTCCCCGTGGCCTGCGGCCTTGTGCTGGGGGCCTCTGGGTGTGGGGGGAGAAGCCCTGCCGCCCTCAGCCGCAGAAAAACAGGACCTGAGAGCGCCATGGTCAGCCTTACCCTGGTGCCAAGACGGGGATGTCCCCGAAGGCCACCTAAGCCACCATCATGTGCCCAGTCACTGAGATCCAACCTCATGCCACTCCCGCCAGCCACAGACGGTACCGTGAGGCCCGGGCTTCCCCTCCTGACTTCCTGCACAGCCCTGGCCCATCTCCCTCCCACCCCGAGTGCTGGTCACCAGGCCCTGCAGGGAGTGCAGCTCTGCCCCCCCCCAGCTGCTCTCAGCACCAGCCCCGCCCACCAAGGAGCTGGGGGACAGCTGTCCTTATGTCAGTTTACCCGGCGCTGATCCTGTCCGGTTCCCTCCTGTCTCCCCAGGGAAGGTGGGAGCAAAAAGAGTGAGCTCAGAGAGGGCAGGTATGACGGGTGGGGTGGGGACAGGAGGAGCTGATNACGGGTGGGGTGGGGACAGGGGGAGCTGAAGACAACCGTGATGCGTGATCACCTGTCACCCTCCTGGGGCCGGCCTCATGCGGGTTCTGCCGCGTCTGCCGGCCGACGGAGCCCGGCTAGAGGTCAGGCCGCCTTCCCACGCCCCCCGACACTGCGGGCGGGAAGCAGCCCAACGGCGGGGGCCTGAGCTGCCCCCCGACCTGCAAAGCCTCGCTCCGTGCCCCTCTACCAGATCAGGCTTCTGATACGGCCCCCCGATGGGCCAGCAAGCTCAGGGTGAGCCTGGCACTAAGGCTGGCACCGAATAAGAACTTTCATGGCACCAAAATGCTGTCAGTTCTCAGAATGTCAGGACTCTGCGTTCAGAAGGCACACCAGGAACCAATTCCGGAGCACGCAGTGCTGTTTTTCCTGGGCCATGCCTGGCCCACCCCCCTGAGGATGAGGAAGTGAGAGCTGGGGCCACTCACCGCTCTAGGGAGTCACCCTCTGGGGCGGCCATCAGGAGATTCTTGTTCGTTGGGAGGTGGGAAGGGTCCCTCGGGAGACCAACTAGTGCTCGTTGCTCTCCATACACTCCCCACCTGCACGCGAGGGGCTGGGGCTCGCAGCTGATGNCCATCAGGAGATTCTTGTTCGTTGGGAGGTGGGAAGGGTCCCTCGGGAGACCAACTAGTGCTCGTTGCTCTCCATACACTCCCCACCTGCACGCAAGGGGCTGGGGCTCGCAGCTGATGACACGTAAAGTTCCCAGGATGGAGATGTCACAGCTGTGCCCCCTCACTCAATACCTCCCATCCCAGGAGCCAAACCCCCACGATCTGCCTGGGACATAGGACGTGACGCTCTGAAAACCAGTAATGGCCAGAGCAGCTACAGCCCACGGCCCCACGCTCCTGGGACACGCTCGCCTCAGGTCCCAGGGCTGTGTGGCCTCTAATTCCCGAGACCTGGGGCTCATTCACTGGATCATTCATCCAACATGTTTATTGAACACGTGTCATATGCCATGTGCTGTACCAGGATGGAGCTGAGGACAAGACAGGCTCGGGTCCTGCCCCCAAGGATCTTACCACTGAGTGCAGCAGAGGACATGACAGGTGAGCAGAGGCAGGGCCTCAGCCTCGGGGTGCCTCGGCTCCCATTAGACCCCCAGGCCTGTGGGATCAGGGAAGGCGGTGAGGAGCGGACACAGAAGCCGAGCGTGCGTAAGAGTTCGGTGGGAGGAAGAGGGAGCAGTGGGGATGGACCTGGACTTAACGAACAGTGATTCCTTGACAAGTAAACGGAATTACCATGTGGCCCAGCAATTCCACTTCCGGCTGCCTAACCAAAGAACCGAAAGCATGGGCCAAAACAGATGTGTCCACCCATGTTCACAGCAGTTTTAGTCACAGCCAGAAGGTGGAAGCCACCCAGGCGTCCATCACCGGTGGATACACAGAACGTGGTCCGTCCATACAATGAAATGCTGCTCGGCCTTAAAAAGGAAGTTCTGACACATTACAGCATAAACCCTAAGGATGTGATGCTACATAAAATAAGCCAGCACCAAAAAAAGACACACATTGTATGATTCCACTTATACGAGGCCCCTAAAGTAGTCAAATTCGTAGAGACAAAGTAGAAGGGTGGCTGCCAGGGGCTGGGAGGGGAATGGGGAGTTGTTTCGTGGGTATGAAGCTCCAGTTTTGCAAGACAAAAATAATTCTGGGGATGGTTGGTGGTGATTGTGCAATGAGGAGGTACTTCATGCCACTGAACTGTACATATAAAAATGGTTAAATTGTATGTTATGTGTTTTACCCAATTAAAAATAAATTTTAAAAAACTGCACGTGGAAGAGACTTTGTCCTGGAATCAAGCGGCCAGCATGGCCTGCTGTGGAATCTGCCCACAGACATGTATAGTTTGGATCACACAGGCGTTTGAACTTGAAAGCCTTTGGAGGACATGTGCTCAGCAGGTAGCCTGAGCCCACCGCTCCCAGTCACCTCACCTGCCTGGCTACTGAAGGCATTTGAGGCTGGAACCCCACAGAGTGAGGGAAGACTTTAGGCAAGAATCTATGGTGCCTCTTACTTTGCTAGTGGTCTCTGCTGCCCTGGGCCTGGGGCTCTGCATGGACAGAGCTGGTAGCAGTCAGGTAACAGGACACAGAGGAGAGTGATGGTCACCAAAAATCCCACAGGCCCCCTCCGCATCCCAACCCCATGCTGTCGGTCCAGGTGACCAGCTCTGGACAATGAACCACAGGCAGCAGTAACCTGTGTGTCATGTGATTACTGGGCTGAAGCAACAGGTGATGTCCCCCAGGGTGGAGCAGCCATTGGCCTAGGTCCCCAAGAGACAATGTCAAAAGCAGACGGGGCTCAGCCGACGTGGCTCAGCAGTTGAGCATCGACCTAGGATCTAGGAGATGGCGGTTCGATTCCCGGTCAGGGCACAGGCCCGGGTTGCAGGCTCGATCCCCGGCAGGGGGCGTGCAGGAGGCAGCCGATCAATGACTCTCATCATTGATGTTTCTCTCTCTCTCTCTCTCTCCCTTCCTCTCTCTGAAATCAATAAAGATTTTTTTTTAAAAGCAGAGGACCCACGTGACCCATGACGGAAAGGTAGTGTGAGCTAGTGAGCAAGAAATAAGCCTTTATGTCGAACCAGGGGATCTGGGGGTTCATTTGTTATTGCACCATAACCTCACTTATCCTAAAACACACACTGTGCCTGATGGGGAGAGAAAGGATTTCATGGCTTCACAAGCTCTAGGAGGGAAGCGTGGAGACCGCAGCCCTAGATCTGCTTCTACGCAGGGAAACCTCAGAAAATGCACCTGCTTTCTCTGGGCTTTGGTTCCCCATTTTTCTTAGAGAAATAGGAATTTCATATTGTTCAACCCACAGAGGGAAAGACAGGTGCTGCTTATTAATCTATGGGGCAGATCTGGGCTCTCTGCCAACCTTGCCACCGACTCACTGCCTGGCCCTCAGTTTCCTTATCTGATCCCTCTGGATCATCCATGGCGTCTAGGGCTGGGCTAGAGATGGCTGGGGGGTGGAGGGGGTAGGGGGGAACCACCTGGCTCAGGGACCTCAAGGGGGCCCCTCTATGAATGGACCCTGGTGTCAGGGACCAAGGGGAGCGATTGCTCACTTCCCACTGTCACTTCAGCCTGGTCTACAGGGAACAGCGTGAGCCCCTGACCCCCTGGCTGAGCTGGCTTTTTAACACTGACCTTGACCTCAGCCTGTCTTGGGAACCCTCACTCCCACCTGGGAGGCCATCTACCCAGAGCTGGGAGCTGCTCAGGGCACTGGACCCACCCAGCACAGACTGTCAGAAGTGTCTCCCCCCAGGTGACGGGAGGGCAGGGTGAGGCAGGGCACCTGCCGGGCACTGAAGGCATCCGCAGAACAGATCCAGCACACGTGGGAATCTGGAGCTGCAGTTAGTGCTGAGCTTTATTTCCCAACATGTCACAGAATGCCCTTCCCCCCACCCCAGGGTCTCCTTCTGAACCCAGGAAGGAGACAGGCCTGGGCCAACCCACCTGCCCCACCTGGGAGGATGGGACCTGAGCCCACCGTCAGCCGGGCAGGGCTCCTCCCAGGGCACCCGTGCCAGAGAGGAGAGGCTAGAGATGATGGCAGGGGCACTGTCTTCCTCCAAGTGGCCAGTCCTCAGGGCTTCAGCCAGGGGGTGCAGGGCCGGGGCACCTGGGGTTCTGACCAGATCGGGGTGAGGGGTGGGACCCGCATTGGCAAGGCCTGGATGGTGCATAAGGAGGTATCAGAGGGGGCCATTTTGGGGGTAGGTCACCCCAGTTCCAGCCTCATCCCCTTCTGGATCTCAGAGCAGGGTCACCTTCTTGGGTGGGATGGGGTAGCGGTGGGAAGGGCTGGAGCCGGGAAGGGTGGCATGGGTCAGGGCCCGGAGATAGGGCTAGGCCCCTGTGGGGAGACACCCCAATCCTACTCCCAGGACACTGGAGCCCATAGGCTGCTCCAGGGCATTTGTCCCTCCCAGGGCACCCCAGACCATACCTGGTGGGAAGGGCTGCCTGGCAGCTTCCGGTGCTGGGCCTCGGAGGTGACACAGGACCAGAGGTCCAGGCTCTTGGGGGCTGAGCCTTTCTCGGGTTTTGGAGGGAGAATGTCCCAGCCTAGCAGGCAGTGCTGTGGAGTGCAAGGGGTCAAGGTCCCTGGCAGGACACCTAGGGCAGGGCTCCCCTCATCCCCTAAAGAAAGAGGCTCCCCCAGGGCAGGGGCCTGTGTCCACCCACTGGTCCTCCCTTTCCTGACCCTGCTCACCCAGGCCCTGACCCTGACCCTGACCCGAGATGCGCAGAGGGAAGGCCATAGGCACTGAAGGAGCACTCCCTATGTGCTCATCCTCATTGAGCTCAGCCTTGCTGTGTGGCCTTGGCACAGTCCCTCGCCCTCTCTGGGCCTCAGACTCCACCTGGGGATCAGGGCCAGACAGCCTCACACCCATCCCACGTGGCTGCTCACCCGGGGCAGGGCCAGCGTGTCAGAGGCATCGAAGCTCTTCCGCCGGTGGATGCGGTGGCGGTGCGGGGGGTCCAGGATGGACAATGGGACGCTCACCCTGGGCGGGGGCGACAGTGGGGGAATTGCCGCTGAGGCCTCCTGGCTGCCGTGCGGCCACGGCCCCAGGCGCTGACTCCGTCCTCAGCTGCGGCTGCACCCACGGCAGCCCCCAGGTGTCCTGCCAGTTCTGGCCACTCACCGGACCTGCGCTGGCTCTGCCAGGGTCTCAGGGCCCCGCTGGTCCCGTGGGGTCCTGCACAAGCGGCAGGGGGTGCCGGGGTCCGAAGGCACCAGAAACAGGCGCCGGTTGACACGGTAACAGTACACACCTAGGATGCGCATGAGAAGCAGCAGCCCCTCAGCTCCGGGCCTAACCCCGGGGCCCCGCTGCCCCCAACCACAGAGCCCAACAACCCTTCCAACCGCCCCGGCACGCACAGGTGTGTACAGGTGCACACACACAGAGCATGTACATGGACTTGTGCTCACACACAAAACACAGAGCACGCACTTCCACACAAGCATGACACACGTGTGCACATGCCCACACACCCACACACCGGCTAGGACCTGCACACGTGGAAAGCCACACGGGCAAGCACAAAGCCTGGCTTTAGTCGCATCTGTGGACACATGCACATGCCAGCATTTACGCATGCAAACCCACGGCAGACTCGTGCTCACGTGACTGAGCTGCCCACCCCACCACAGGTGACACATATGCAGAGGAGTGTGTGGGAGTGGGGGGCACACAGGAAATGAGGCAGCTGAGAAGAAAGTGAAGGTTGCTACGGAGTGAGGAGGCGGGTGACACAGGGCTGACCCTCATCCCCACAAGGCCAGGCCTCAGCTCCCCCACCTCCCACCCAGGGCCTGCTTCGCCCTGTCCTGATGCCAGGCCTCCGCGCCCCGAGTCCTCAACACCCCAGTGCCTCCCAGGCTCCCGCGACCTCAGCTGGGGAGCCTGCAGGGTTTGCACTCACACTCGTGGTCTTCCTTGGCACCATCGTGCTCCCGCGGGCCTAGGAACGGGGGTCTGTGAGAGCGAGAGGGTGAGCGGGCAGGTGACGGGGCCGAGCTGCCCGCCACCCCCCGGCCTGCCCCGCTCACTCGGGCTCGCTGTGAATACAGTCCTCCCTGTGGGCTTCCCGGAACTCCTGCAGCTCCGAGAAGAAGGCGTCGGGCTTGCTGCTGATGGGCGAGCGGTTATCCAGAGACTCTGCAGTGGACAAAGCATGGGGTGCTGCTGTGCGGCCGCTGGCCAAGGCTTAGGGGACACTCAGAGCTGGCACCCGTCCAGCTGCTTTGCCCCCGCCAGGCCTCAGACCAGAAGGGACCCTCCACTCACTGTGACTGCTGGTTTTGTCTCAGTGTCCACCTACCCCGATGCACATCCAGCTAGCTGTCCATGCAAAAATATTTACAGAGCCCCCGCTATGGGCCAGACACTGTTTTACGTGCTGCGAAAGGAGCAGTGAACTAGACAAAGCCCCTGCCCTCATGAGTATTTCATGCTAATATGGTGGCAACAGACAAACTAGTCACCAAAGAAACATGTATATGATACACTGAATGGTGACACCTGCCAGGAAGCAGAACCAGGGAACCCAGCTTGCTAGGGCAGGGGTGCCAGGAGAGGCCACTCTGAGGAGGTGACACCTGAGCAGAGACCCGGAAAGAGGGAGGGAGCCATGTGGACAGAAGGAAGAGCAAGTGCAAAGGCCCTGGGGTAGAAGTGTATTTGAGGAACAGCCCGGAGGTGAAAGTGGCTGGAAGGGAGTGAGGGATGAGTGGAGGAGATGCGGCTGGGAAGCCAGCAGAGGGCTTGGGGACAAGGAATGACACAATCAGATCAGCCATGTATTTTTATAGAATTCCCCCCGGCTGCTGTGAGGTGAGGGGAAGCAGGGGCACCAGTTAGGAGGTGACTATAGGCATCTTGGGAGAGAGAAGCAGTTGGATGCTAGAAATACGCTGAAGGCAGGGCTACCAGGATGTGCCAATGGACTAGAAGAGGGCCACGTAAAACGGAGAGACGGAAATAAAGGTCGATCCCAAGGTTATGACCTGACCACTTATTAGGTACCTAGAGCTGCCGCTTACAAACACAGGAAAGACTACAGTGGGGAGAAAATCCCGACCTTGATTTTGGCCATGAAAGCAACCTAAGACACCTAATGTGCGTATACAGAAGACAGCCAGCTACACAAGTCTAGGATTCAGAGTGGGGCGGGCCAGAGGTAAAAGCAGGGGAGTCCAGACGAGCACTCATTGAACACCTGTCGCTGTGCCTGTCACTGTGCCAGGGGAGGGGGGAGGCTGACAGAGGTGCTCACCAAGGAGGGTGGGCCAGTCAGATACACTGCAGCAGCACAGGGTGGGGGCTCAGGCAGGTGTGTAGGGGGGGCCTCCACCCCCACTCCCAGGCAAGGTATGTGTGTGGGGCGGGCCACACCTGCAATCCAGTCATAGCCCAGGTAGGGTCTGAAGCGCCAGCTCCTCTCAGGCACTGGAGACTCCTTGTTGAAGGTCACGCATGGCGGATGAGGCAAAGATAGAGAGGTTAGGCCAGCAGGCCGAGCCCAAAGGAGGCCTCAGCTTAGGGCTTGGGAGCTGAAAGACAAAGGTTTGGCCCCCACCACTCTCTATGTGTGACTTTGTGTAAGTGTGGCCTCTGAGCCTTGGTCTTCCCATCTGTATAATGGGGCTCATCACCTTCTTCCCAAAGTGCTGTCTGAGAAACTGACAACCACCACTTATCCAGCAGGTAGGCTGAGCTGGACACGACTCATGGTATCTCCTGCACAGCCTCTCACCTTGCAAGGGAGCCTGCCCATGAGCACATTTGTCAGACAGGGAAACTGAGGTTCCAGGAAGCTCCAATCAGCAATGCCCCACTCTCCCATGTTACCTTGGGCAGCTTGCTTTGTTGATCCAGGATGGGCCTCGGGGACTGTGCCTCTAGCTCTGCTGATCGCTCTGGGTCGTTTGAGTCTGAGGTGGTCAGCAATGGTGCCAAGCGGGGCCTTGGGCTCAGAGACTCCTGGTATTGGCGCTCGGCAGGTGAGAGAGAGATCACCCCTGAGCCGGCCCCGCCAGGAGAGGACACATCACAGGGGTCACTCTGGTTGGCATCCCGTGGGGCTCTCAGGACCATTGAGGATATCTCTTGGGACGATGGCATCTCTGACTCATAGCTGCTGCTGGAGTCCAGGCTTGCCTGGAAGAGAGGCCAGGTCACCCAGCCACCCACCCAGCTGGCATGTACTAGGCATTGCTGCTCCAGCCTTGGCAGTGTCTCAGTCTAGTCCCTTCCCTTGCTGGGCCTCAGTTTTCTCATCAGTAATAAAATGGACTCACTGCCCAACATGACCCTGGAGGCCTGCATTCTGGCCTGAGGGTTAGCACCACCCCTCGTCCTCTGGGAGCTCCCAAGATGGACACCCACCTTGGAGGCCTTGGCCACTGACCGCCGCATGGCATCCTGTCCAACCCACAGCTGCCTCAGAAGCTCCAGGTTGAGCTGCCGCAGCTGTGCCAGGTCCTTGGTCTCCACCATCCCCGGTGTATCGTCTGGCTTCCAACAGCAGATGTCACTGACTCCTGGGCTGTAGAGTGTCCTCAGGGCTGAGTTCCAGGCTCAGCTCTGCTACCTGAAGGAAAGACAGCATGACACAGGGCTGAGGAGGCTGCCCTGTGGAGCCAGAGGCCTGGGTTCAAATCCTCCCACTCAGATACTCCCCAGCTGTGCAGCCTCAGACCAGTAGTTTAACCTCTCCCTGCCTCAGTTTCCTCATCTGCCAGAGATGATAACAGTATGTACCTAAAAAGGTTGTTGTAAGGATTACATGTGGCAATGCATGTTCAAACTTAGTACAGTTCCCAGCACACAGTAAGCATGCAACAAATGTCCCTATCATTAATCTGGCCAGAGTGTGTTTCTTTATGTGCCAAAAGAGAACAACCCCGTTTAACGACTTGAACTATGAAAATTAGGCCAGCCTGGCCAGGTGTGGCTCAGTGGTTGAGTGTCAACCTAGGATCCAGGCGATCGGGGTTCGACTCCCAGTCAGGGCACATGCCCGGGTTGTGGGCTCGATCCCCAGTCGGGGGTGTGCAGGAAGCAGTCGATCAATGACTCTCTCATCACTGATGTTTCTATCTCTCTCTCCCTCTCCTTTCCTCTCTCTGAAATCAATAAAGATATATTAAAAAAAAAAGAAAAAGAAAATTAGGCCAGTTTAATTTATAAAAAACAATTCGAGCAATTCTACAAATGTAAGGCGTTATGACTCGTATATCCGACACAAACCAGGCTCCCGAAGGGACTCTTTCCTCTCTCCTGCCCACTCTTCCTGCTTCCTTTTTTTTTTTAAACAAATAAAGAAACCCAAGTTCAGAGAAGTTAAGCAACTTGCCCCAAGTCACACAGTCAGTCAGTGGTAAAGCCAGGATTTGAACCCAAATCTAGCTCCCGGGTCCACAGTCCGGCCAGCCTTTCCCCAGCAGGGCGGAGGGGCCTGGAAAGCTGCCTCCCCCTATTCCCAAGCGTTGCCACCGCGCCCCCTCCAGGGACCCAGGCCCGGGGTACACAGATGCCTCTGGAAGGAGTTTCTGCAGCCCGGGGGAAGGGGCTCCCCACCTCCCGCAGGCCCCCAAGCCCAGATCCTGCGCAAAGAAAGCCTCCCCCGTGCACACCAGCCCCCTTGACCCCTGGGGTCGGTCTGGCATCCGCTCTCAGAAACCCTGCCCCAGCCCGGCCCCGCACTCACCGGAGTCGCCCGCACCGGGAGCGGGGGCCTCCTCATGGCCCGGCTGCGGGGCTGAAGCAGACAGACGCCAGGCTCACACTGGGCACCCCGCCGCTCACATCTGCGCAGCAAGGCCCAGGGGAGGCTCGTCTGCGAGCGGGGCGAACAGGCCGCGGGCCCGGCAGCGCGCCCGCCCTCATCTGAGCCGGCACCCCGCTTCGCACCGGGTCACAGAGAACGGCCCGCACGGCCCCCCCGCCCCCCGGCTCCAGCCCCGCTCTGGGCAGCGAAAAGCCGCCCAAATGCAACGGGAAGGCAGCGCTCGGAGCAGAGCCTGGGGCGGCGAAGGCACCGGGGCCGGCGCCGGAGGCCGCAGGGGCGGGACCCCCGGAAAAGCAGCTCAGCCCACCGTCAGCGCTCGGAGTAAAGCCCCCCTTTCCCATCGCAGCCCGGAACCCTCCGCCGGGGCCTTCCCCGGCCCCCACGCCACCCGGACCCAGCCAGCCTCGCACCCACCGCCCGGAAGCCACCGATCCGCGCCGCGGGACACCGCCGGTGGCGCCTGGAGTTCCGCTCGGTCCACCTTCCGCAGTGCTGCTCTGGGTCGGGGCGGGGCCAGATGCGGCCGCTCTGATTGGCCAGGTGAGGGGCGGGGCCGAGACGCGCCTGCGAGCTTTATTCCGCTTTGGGAAGCGGCAGTTTCAACATTGGGGCGGGACTAACAGAGCTGCGCCACAGCTGATTGGCCAACTTCCGAGATCAAATTTTTCTTTTTTTTCGGATGGGGGGGCGGTCTCCTGGAAGGAGGGCTCTGATTGGTCAGGACGGGGCCGTGAGCTCCGGAGAGTTTGGCAGACGCCGATCCGGGGTGGGCTCCTGGGCGGTGGCAGGAGACCTGGGTGAGCGCGGTGGGCGGCGGCCGGCGACCCATTCTGTTATACTTTCTCCCAAGTACTCATAGTCCCTGCCTTGTTTAGATTAAGAGGCAAGTTTAGATTGAGAGGCGGGGGTAAGAAGTGGGTACGGGCTGTAAAATGGGTCACTTCTATATGGAGTGCCTGCTGCGCGCCAGGTGCCTTCCACGTGCCAGTGCGTGCCAGCCTCGTACGTGTGCTTTAAGGCGTGTGGTTGTTCTTAATTTTATTTGATTTTTAGAGAGAGGGAGGGGAAGAGAGAAATATCCATTTTCCGGTCCACTTATTTGTCCATTCACCGGTTACTTCTTGTGAGAGCGCGCGCGCTAGAAACATCCCTTTGTTGGTCCGCTTGTGCGTTCACTGGTCACCTCCTGCATGGGCCCTGACCCAGGTGGAACCTGCAGATCCGGGGCCACGCTCCAACGGGCTGGGCTACCTGGCCAGGGCGTACGGTGTGAAGTTGTCCCATTTTACAAACAAAACAAAAGATGAGGCCGGGCAGACCCCTCCCTGGGCCTTTGAGAGGACGTGGGCTCATGCACACGCGTGTGACATGCGGCGGGCTCTCAGGAAAGGCTGGCCGCTGGGACCTCGCCCCTGACTCCCACCCGGAGACAGTGAACTTAGCTGCCGCCCGTGGGGAGGGCCCAACTTTGAAACACAGAGATTCGTTCCTAGCTACATCTTCTGGGATTAAAGGGGGATATTGTTACTGGAGGGCCCCAAATCCCAGCCCTCTCAGGTTCCCCAGAACTCAAAGGGGACAGATAAGGTAGGCTGGGAAACCGTGGGAATGAGCCTGGCTTTGCTGGGAATGAAGAACTAGGTGGTGGTGAGAGCCCACGCGGTGGAGAACACCCTTCTTGAACGAGAGGTCGCCACCCTGGAGCAGCTGGGGGACAGCTGAGCGAGTAGCAAACAGCTGCTGCTTAAGGAGAAAATACCTGTGGATTGCAGAGTAATGACTGATTTAAAGTTTTTGGTTTCACTTACGCATACGTGTGGAATGGATCGTGTTGTGTACCTAACGGCGGGTCAGCGTGATAAGTCTGAAAGCTACTGGGCTCCGGGAAATTAGGCCTTGGACTCCATCTGACCCAGGCTCCATCGCCCCCACCGCCAGCTGCTGAGATTCGAACACTTGAAAGCCCCTAGCACGACCTACAGGAAGTTCCCAGGAGCATCTGTTCTGTCCCCCGCTGCTAGAGGGCTGATGATGTGTGGAGAGTGTTACCAGGACAGGGCTCGTTAATTCAGCAAGTATTTACTGAGTTCTGATTCTGTGCCAGGCACTGGTTTAGAACCTTGGCACACACCAGTAAACAAGACAAAAATATCAGCCCTTCAGAGCATATGTTCCAGCAGATGGAGGCACCTAACAGTATTGCATGTTAGAGGATGACTGTTAATAAAAACACACGTATTACACATGTAGGGTGAGAGGGGAAGGTGGGAGGGCGTTTAAGAAAGGTGTTCTGGGTAGACCCAGACCATGGGGTAACGTTTCAGCAGACTTGGGTGTAACGCAGTTCACTGTGCTGAGATCTGGAAGAACAGGTGGAGGCTCAGGCAGGGCAAAGGCCCTATGGAAAAGTGTGCTGAGCAGTTTCAAGAAACAGCAAGGAGCTGATGTGACTGAAGCAGAGAAGTGAGGGGTGGTCAGAGGCAGTACAGACCCCAAAAGGCCCCTGCAAGGACTCGGGCCTCATTCTGGGTGGGACAGGGAGCCAGCGCAGTGTTTGGAGCAGAGAAGTAACAAGATCTGAATTCTATTTCCAGCCTATGTCAAGGTCACTCTGGCAGCTGCCTGGACACAAACACAAGAGGGCAGGGTGAAGGAGGGGCTGAGTTAGAGGACTGGAAGCGGGTCAGAGGAGTGGCTGTTTTGGGGTGGGGTGGAGGGAAGTGGTCAGGGTCTAGACATACTTTGAAGACAGCAACTGACAGGTTATAGACACAGACAACATGGCAATTACCAGAGAGGAAGGGGGGGGGTAGAAGAGTAGGTGTAAGGGGGCAAATGGTGATGGGGGAGATTTGATGTGGGGTGATGAGCACACAATACAATATACAGATGGTGTATTAGAGAATTGTACATGTGACACTATATAATTTTAGTAACCAACGTTACCCCAATAAATTCAATTAAAAAAGGGAAAAACAGGTTAGGTGCAGCATGTGACAGTGGAGTCCAGGGTGATGCCCGCCTGTGGCCCGGGAACCCAGGAGGATGAGGCTGCCGTCCACGGAGATGTGGAGGCCTCTAAAGGGACCAGCAGTGCAAGCAGTGGGCGGCGCCACTGCCCAGGGGACAGGGTGGGGGCCCGGGGGCCCACCGGTCATGTCTGAAGCCACTGTAGGGCTCTTCAAAGAAAAAGAAGAAAAGGTCACAACCGAGTTCTCAGAAGGCGAGCTGGGGACCAGTCTGAGTCATGACTTTTTAAGTGAAAAATGAAGGGTTTAGTTATAGTGAAATCTGTAAATAAATCACTCTAGATTTCCTGGTCCTCAAAGATCAGTAACGCCTTTTGTTCTGACAGTATCAGATTACTCCCACGAGTGGGCAGGGACCAAGGGCAGAGTCCAGAGGGAAGTTAAGGTCATTTTAGTTTTTATTATTATTTTTTTATTAATCTTCACCTGAGGATATTTTTTTCCATTGGCTTTTAGAGCTAGAGGAAGGGAGGGAGGGCGAAAGAGAGAGAAACATGGATGTGAGAGAGACACACAGATTGGTTGTCTCTCGCACGCAACCGAACCAGGGCCGGGGATGGAACCTGCAACCCAGGTACATGCCCTTGGCCAGGAATCGAACCCGTGACCCTTTGGTGCTTAGGCCAACACTCTAAACACTGACCAACACCAGCCAGGGCGAGGTCATTTTAAAATACTAACTTGTAGGCTCGGTTATGTGAAAAGAAGTTTGCAGAACAGTAAACTGAGAAGATACCACAAAGGGTTCCCAACTAGTTTTATTTTAGTTTCCAATATTATCAGCAATGATACAGGAGTAATTCAGGCAAATATATCCCCTTAAATACGTCAGAGAAAAACTCACTGTCAAGCATGTCTCGCACTCCAGCAAATGAACATAAAAACAGAAAAGTCAGCAGCATTAAATTAAAGTGGTTTTGCCACACTTCCTTCAGAAAGTCTCTAGGTGGTATTTCATTTTACTTATTGTATAAGCTCAAAATTCATTCATTGCCCAGGGGTACATTCAAAAAAATTCATGTTTAGTTATATTAAATAATTTCCCCCCCAAAAAAGCACAAAATTCATTGGAATTGTGTGACATTGATTCCTCCTGACACACTGTGAGGTGCCCACCATCCAGGCCTGCAGGACACACAGCGAGCCTTCCTCCTGCAGGCTGACCTTGGCAAAGCCCATCATTCTGTTCCAAGCAGGGCAGACTGCGGGTTTGAAGGACCGGTGGGACCTGGAGAGGACCCCACTGTATGACCACCCATCAGTGCACAGAGGTCACCACTCACATCCCCACGCCAGAGAGTGGGTGGACTCAAAGGAGCAGGACAAACCCCAGCTCTCTGCCTGAGCCCCACCTCTTGCTGGAAGAGAGGCTGCTCACTTCTAGCATGTTCTCTGACCTGCTCTGCAAAGGCTGTCCCCAAAGGCTACTTGCCCAGTTAACATACTGGAGACAGGAACCTGCCCCCACTTTAACTAGTAACAATTCCTAAACTCCAGTGGAAAATGTAACAGGAGTGGCCATGTGTGTCAGTTGGAGGCTCTGGGATGGGAGGGTGGGGAGTTGGATCCCAGGGTTCCCACACTGTCTTGGCATAGGAGCCTTAGTCTAGAGGAAGGTGGCCAAGGGCAACTTGGGCCAAGCTGGCGGTAGGGACCTGTCTCTTAAGGGGCATAACAGGGATGCAATCAGGCTAATGAGGTGGGCTCCCAGACCCCATGAGCCCCTCAGTGAGGCCAAATGGAGGGCCCTGCTTTGCGCCAACTCCACCTTCTCCAGCCATCCCCTCAGCCTGCTGCCAAGGTCCCCTTCCTGCTACCATCTTGCCTTCTACAACATCCTTTGACAACCTGGACCAAACCATCTTTCACTAATAATAAAACCAAGCTACACAGACCAACGACCAAAACTAGAACAAGGGACACAAAGAAGAGCAGGGAGGCATGCCCCTCCTTGTCATGGTAACAAGCCGCCCCCTCCAACGGCACAGGCATCAGGAGGGGACACAGCCCTCCACACACAAGCTACCCTAACTATTCTCACCACTGCGGTCGCTTCTGCAGCATCTTTCCTCCCCCTCATGGCACAGGGCCCGCCTCACCTAAAATCCAAGGCGTCTGTACTGAGTGCCACCACCAACACGTGTCTGAGAGGGACAGCACACAGGACAAAGCATGAAAGCTGAAGGACCAAAGTGACACAAGCCACAGTCCTTCTGGGACAGAACCACTACAATGCAATCTGGGGAGAAAATCCAACCATCCCCTGGGGTGGCCCTTTTCTGCAGTTGTGCTGGGTGCAAGGAGCACAGGTGGGCACAGTCAGCATTCATTTTGGCAGAAGAGGGGCATGTGCCTGACACCCTGGGAGGCTCCACGCAGATGTGCCGTGATGCTGGGAGCCCAGGACCTTACCAAGCACGCCAGTGATGCTCAATCATGTGAACCTGACAAAGCAGAGAAGTCTCGACTTAACTCCTCAGCGCTACACTATCCACAGTCATCGTTTAAAAAGTCTCCTGTAGGGGTGTGAGCCAGACAATCTCCCTGCAGCAGCAGGCGAAGGAGGGGGAAAAGCAACTAGTGTTTAAGGGCTCAAAACGGTGAGACACCGGTGCTTCCATTCTCACGGCAGGGGCGGCCAGACAGGAGCAGCGTGAGGCCCCGGAGGCGCCCCATGAGGCTGGCAGCACTGCCTTCACGCAGGCTCCAGCTCCGGCTGCCCACTATCTGCGGGGCTGCAGGTACTGGTGCATGAACATGTTGAGCTCACTGTCCATCCAGCCACCTTTATTCCTGCAGAGAAATAGTGGTTTTGCAGCGGTCAGAACTGATAATAGGTAATATTAGCATCACATGCCAAGCCCTGTTCTTGGCATAACTCCCTCCAAAAACCCACTTCTTACACACAGAGAAATGAGGTCTGGAGAGCTGAAGGAATTTCCTGCAGGCCTTCTGGCCCACAAGCTGTGTCTGCTTCACCCTGGGACCCCAGGTCAGTCCCTGAACTGGTGGGAACTCCATTTTCCTGCCTGTCCTGTTTCAGGTTCACCCTGTCCCAGTGGCTGACAAGTAGGAAACAATCCCACAGGCACCCTGAGAGTTCCCAGGGGCTGAAAGTGTCCCTGAAAAATGGCTGCCGGGGGTGGTGGGTGGGGAGGGCACATGGGCACAGTCAGGGAGGGGAAATCCATGTCCCTGGGGCTAGAGCCTGTGCTTGATGATGCAGCTCCTGGGTGCTGCCGTCAAGGGCGGGGGCAGGAAGCAAAGGTCCCCATGAGCTGATGCTATCTTGGCTGGGCGGCCCAGGGCTTCTGCAGAACTCTCAGTTAGCTCAGGGGCTGTGTCATGAAATCAGAGTCCACGTTATGGATGGAAACAATGAGACACAGGAAAGCTATGATTTGCCCCAACATGAGTGCCTGGACCAGAACCCAAAACCCGACTCCTCAGATCAATACTCTCCCCAGCAAACCCAGTTTGCCCCCTTTCCTGAGCTCAAAGAGAAACCCAGTGTCCCCAGCACACAACGGACAGTAAAGGGCAAATTGGCATGCAGTGTCAGAGGGCACTGAAGCCAAGCACACCTGGACTCTTCTACTCCTGACTGGACCATTTACTGGGAGATTCTGGACAAGTTAGGCCCCACTTTTCCTTTTTATAAAATGGAGATGCTGCTGCACCCTGAGAGGTTGCAGTGAACCTCTGAGGGGTTGAAGGTTGAGTGGAACAGCTCATGTCAAGTGCCTGAGATGCTACCATTAAGAGAAGGTGCCAGTGAGCTGTAACCTCCTGGCCCCATACTGCTTGGTTCCTCTGCTGCTGCCGTGGCCATGGCTGCAAGCACCTGGGGGGCACTGACCACATCCCACTGAGCCTCCAGTGCTGGAACCACACCTAGCACCCAGCAGGTGCTCTGTGAACATAGGAGCCAGCGAAGGACCCACCAGAGATGTGTGTTCCCGCCCAAGACAGACACCTGCGCCGCACACCAGAACCCACTGCCTCCCACCACCTAGGCCAACCTCACCTGAGCAGTTTTGCTTTGCTCTGGAGTGAATCAAGAACCTCGATTTTCTGGTTCATGGCAGCAATTTCCTGCTCCAGGTTCTCCCGGGTGATATCAACTTGCTGGCACAAATGAGCAAAAGTCCCAGACAGTTCCCTGAGAAGGAGAGAGTCAGGGTCAACTGGGCGACATGGCTATTTTGCAGAACACCGTTGGTGGCTAAATCCAACTCATCCAGAGTAGGGCAACCGCCAGGCCCACCTGCACCCGCTGGTGGCTCTGCCCAGCACCAGTCCTGGTTCGGCAGAATGCTCCCTACCCCATGCTGAAGTGATGCACATCACAACCAGCACACACACTCAATATCATCAGTGTGAGAACCAGGAGCACAGGGCAGCAAACCCTGGCTTGGGCACAAGAGACTAGGAATCAGATCATGGCTCTGCTGCTAGTCAGCCAGGTGACAGGGGACAAGTGACTACTCTTCAAGCCTCCCATTTCTTCATTTTGAAAAAGAAAATGCCAAGAAAAACAATCTTGTTTTTCTATCTTGTTTTTAAAGAAAGTCTCTCTCTACAGGGCTGGAGGAGCAAATGCCTAGCAAAAGACCCGCCACCCAGATCAAGGGATCCACTCCCACCTGACAGAGCTGTGCCATGAAGAAAGGCTGTGCCTTAGAATGTCAAAGCTGCGTCCACAACACAAGCCCCTCAAGGCAACCTTTAACAACTCCTACAAGTACCATCCCTCATCTTCCCATGTCCTCCTTCCTTGGGGAATCAGACTCCTACTTGGTCCCAACCCAGGACACAGGCGTCCCTGGAGAGATGCTTCTCCGACCCCTGGCTTCAAGTTAGCACTGCACAGGTGAAGGTGAGGGTCAGATGATGCTCAGGACCCAACGGTTTCCAGGACAAGATTGGAAGGGAACCAAGGGAAGTTCTGAGACACTGGAGCGGGCACTGGCTCAGGGCTGCGGGCCACTCACTGCTGGACCTGGTGGCTGCAGTTGGAGCCGGTGTAGCTGATGATGAGCTGCAGCTTCTCACTGGCATACTCCACAAACTGGCGCTTGAAGGCCCTCTCCTTGGCCTTAGTGGTCCAGGTCAGACGCTCATAGACGTAGAGGAGGCCATAGAGCCCAAAGGACAGGGCGATGAGCCGCCAGCCTACCGCCTTCCACACCTGCAGAGGCACAGCGGTCAGCCGAGGCGGCCTCCCTGCCACCCTGCCGCCCATCCTCTCGGCCTGCCCTTGTCAGGACTTTCCCAAGAGCCCCAGTCAAGGAGCCTTTGTGCTTCAACCCAGAACACGTCTTTCAATGTCTCCTTTAATCCCGCTGAGGCCAAAAAGAGCAGAGACCAGCTAGTTTAAAATGCGGGAAACTTAGTGTTTGTACAAAATAGGGGGTAAGGGTATTAGGGCCAGAAGCCCAGATCCAGGCACACAGAATTTTTTTCCTTTTGCTAATCCTCACCTGAGGACATGCTTAGAGAGAGGAAGGAAAAGAGACACTGATGTGCAAGAAAAACATCGACTGGTTGCCTTCTCTTTGTGCCCCAACCAGGGACTGAACCTGAAACCTCGGTATGTGCCCTGACCAGGAATCGAACCAGCAACCTTTGATGCAGAGGATGAGCTCAACCAACTGGGCCACCCGGCCAGCATACAGAGTAATGACACTGACCAGTCAGATTCCACACGTCACTCCTCAGCAGGTGGCTTCTTTTGGTCCTGTTTGTAACACTCTGCTTCAAGGCAGTGTGACTATATTCAGAGAACGCTGGACTTGCAGCCAGGAATCGAGGCTCTAGTGCAGCTGCATCCTGGCTGAGGCAAGCTTCTGCACACCTGCTTCCTCACAAAACTGGCATAATGGTCTTCACCCAATTCACAGGGTTGTTGAGGTAAAACGAGATATTGTAAAAAGGTTCCATAACCATCAAGTGTCAGCGTCTCAGCAAATGACCCTCTGCTCAGGTCGCCTCTGTGAAAGAGGAACGCGAGCACCTGTCTTCTGCAGAGCGGGAGGGAGAGGGGCCAGTATTACAAGCTGAGAATGCAGCTTTGTTACAGTTACATTTTGCCACCACTTCTACAAATCCAATGTCCGTGAGAGAGAGAACTTGCTCACGTCGTCAAAAAATTTCAAGGTAGCCCTAGCAGGGTAGCTCAGTTGGCTGGAGCTTCGTGCGGATACACCAAGGTTGTGGGTTAGATCCCCAATCAGGGCACAGGCAAGAATCAGCCAATGAATGCATAATTAAGTGGAAAAACAAATCGATGTTTCTCTCTCTCTCTAAAAATCAACAAATAAGTTTTAAAAAAAGAAAATTCAAGGTATAAGTTATCTTGGCTGCAGTGCCTCTTGGATCAAGAAGTAGAGGATACCTGTTATCAAGAAGGCAGCCTGCAATTTCAGGCCTCAGGGTAGAAAGGAAAGGGCCATAAAACCAGTAGATGGAGAGACAAGGGTTCATGGTTGGGCCTGGTCTCTTTTGTCTTAAACTCTTTCAAGTTTTGCTCTTGATTTTCTTGCCTAAAAATGAGAAACTCCTGGTCACGCCCATCTCTCTAGAACCCAGGCCTGTCAATTTCTTGGGTCACTTCCCTACCTACCAGGTAGTACAGACCCTACAGGATAAAGGGTATGGCAGAGTCAGACGGGGCCAGAGTTCAAAACCTGGCTGTGTATCTTTGGCAAGGCAATTACAGACTTTCCTCATCTGTCAATGGGAATGGAGCTACCTCAATGTCAGCTGAGTGGGACGAATAAGTCAGTAAGTGTATGTCCAAGGGCTGAGGCTGCAGAGCTCTGCACAGATCAGTGAAGAGAACAGATCAGTCAGCCACTGATGGAGGTGAAAAGGCTGTGCCCACACAGAGACCACCAGAACTATGCCTCTGCCTCCAGGCGCCTGTCCTCCCACTTCCCACCCTTCCCAAGCAGGGCTTGTCACTGACCACTCCTCCAACAACCAGAATGCCCATGGAGGTCCTGGACGTCAGGGAGGCCAGGCCAGTGACCATGGAAACCATGAGTTCTTCTTGGGTGAGGGAGCCCTGTGGCAGAGGGGGCATGCTGGGGTTGGCTGGCGTCAGAGGGACGGGACGCTGAACCTGAAGGGAGAAACAAGGAGAGGAGTAAGAAAAACAGGGCTCATTCAACGGAACCCTCAATGACCCTTGAGGTTAGGGGTCCTGAAACAGGGACAGAGGTGGCTTTTCAATTTCCAAAAGGCCAAAAGGAGGGAAAAGAGCTTCACAAATTGTAAAGAGGAATTAAGCTTCATAAAAGACCTGCTAGTCCAAAGGTGAGCACTGTGGGATACCCCAAAATGTGAGCAGTGGCCATCCTAAAATGCTTCAGCACCCAGTGTGGGATGTGTACCAAGAGCAATATGTGCAATAACTGCAGTGGTATACAGAGAGGTGGTGTAAAATCTAAATTTTAAAATGGAATATGGAGACCTGGCCGGGGGCTCAGTTGGTTGGAGCATCTTCCTGCGCACCAAAAGGGTGAGGGATGATTCCCGGTCAGGGAATGTACAGAAGGCAGCCGATGCTCCTCTCACGTCGATGTTTCTCTCTCTCTAAAATCAATAAACATATCCTTGGACAGGGATTAAAAACATTTTTTTAAATGGCACATGAAGACATTTTATGTCAGTTAGATTTAAGTTATGTATTATAATGGTTACTTAAAAGTACTTACTTTAATATAAAAGTACTAATAGTTACTTTAATCCGCATTAGAAAAAAACACAGTTAGTGCCCTGGCTGGTCTGGCTTGGCGGTTAGAGTGTTGGCTGGTGACTGAAGGGTCCCAGGCTCAATTCCAGTGAAGGGCACGTGCCTCGGTTGCAGGCTCGATCCCTGGCCCTAGATGGAACGCATGCAGGAGGCAACCAGTCTGTGTGTCTCTCTCACATCCATGTTTCTCTCTCTCTGCCCCTACAACTCTCTCTGAAAAGCAATGGGAAAAATATCCTTAGGTGAGGAGAAAAAGAAAAAGAGAGAGAGAGAGAGAGAGAGAGAGAGAAAGACAGCTAGCTAGCACTTAAAATTTCACAAATATTAGTGCTTAGGATAGGCCAGCGTGACTTGTGGGAACACTTTGACCCTTGACCCCGTGGTGTAATGGTGGCAGGGTGCCCCAGCTGCTGACCTCAGGGAACCCCTTCCAGAATGGCTCATGTGCCTGGAGATGGGGTGCAGACCAGGGAAGAGACTGTGCTTGCCTGGTCATTGTAGCCCATCAAGGCCCGGCGGCTATTCTTGGGGCCCAGGAACCTATTCACCAGCATGGTCCACCCAAGAGAAAAATGGAACTCGATGTCCTCCTGAAAGTCAGCACACAGCTTATCACAGTTCAGGTCATAGCTGAGAGAGAAGCACTGCCGAGGAACCAGCATGTCCATCTGGCTCCGCACAGACGCAGGAAGGAGGGGTTTCAAGCCATCTGTCAGGAAGACAATGGGGAGAGAGCACCTCAGCTCGGCCGTGGCCACCAGGGCCAAGCCTCAGATCGGGAGCCAGCCAGCTGCGTCCAAGGATGCTGACAGTTCTGCCCAGAAACCAGGCCTATGGGACCGGGAGTGCCATACTTGGAGGGGGCAGGCCAGCTCTCCCAGGGATGCAAACCTGGGCTCTGTCCCTGCTAACATTCATGCCTCACGTGGACTAAGGAGCAGGCCAAACTCTCAGCCGTGAAAGTCCTATGTGGTAACACAAGACGGCTCGGCTCCGGAGTCTACGTGTGCAATGAACTCATGTCATCACCCAGAACCTGACGGTATCGCACTGACTCATCATGAAAGGTGAGAGATAAGGAAAGGTCATTATCTCTGTGGCCTGGCCCCTGGACACTGACCTATCATCTCCTGCTGCATGGTCTGCAGGGAGCCGGTGATGGCTGTGGAGCAGCGGTCCGACATATTTCGGCCCAGTCCTTCCTCTATATGGCGGTGCAGTTCCTGCAACCAGAAGAGAGGTTGAGAGAAGCAGCACCCCCAGTCAGGACTTCCTTCTGGGAAGCCAAGGAACAGGAGATCGGAGGCTGGTCGGCCCACACCCACCAGGTGACATGGCCGAGGGGCCCGGACAGACCAGCAGGGACTGAATCGCTGTCTGCTTGGAGATTCCACCCAGTAGCTAAAAGGATTTGGTGGGGAGGGCTTATCGAGCGCACTGCGGCTTAATGACTCACGTTCTTATAAACCTTGAGGACGACTGGAGAAGGGTGGAAATCCATCTGGTACTCGTCCACCAGCACAGAGAGGCGCCTGATCTCCTCCGCCATCGCCGTTGACACCTACAGGAGGCAGCATGAAGGTTTCAGGGAGGAACATGGCTGGAATCTGTAGCACCGGGAGCGCATCTGACAGATTCTAATACACTGTCTATCCTTCCCGAGGCCAGTGGCTTCCGCAGCTCGCCCATGGAATTAAAGCGCTTGAGGTAGAAGGGACATGAAAGACTGGCTGAGCAAATGCTCATTTAGGTCTGAAGGAGACTTGCCCAGGGTCACACAAGAGCGATGAGCCCAGAGGCTCCACATGTTTGTTGTTACTCCTAACCCAAGGATGCTTCTTCCACTGCTTTTCAGAGTGGAAGGGGGGGGACACAGAGAAAGGCATCAGTGTGAGAGAGACATGTCGACTGGCTGCCTCCCACATGAGGCCCGGGCTGGAACCTGCAGCTGAGGTAGGTGCTCTTGGCCAGAATCGAACCCGGGACCCTTCAATCCACGCTGACGCTCTAACCATGAGCCAAACCGGCCAGGGCGAGGCTCTGCGTTCTTGAATCAGGGCCACGGGTTCTTCTGGAAGGCTGAGGCACCCCCAAAGTGAGGAGGGCGGCCTTTTCTCTGCTCCAGCACCCTGGACTCTACTCTGAGTCTGAATAGCCCGAGCGCACCTCCTCCATTTCTCACCTGCCTTTCGACTTCCTCCGTTATCTGCTTAATTCGCAGTTTGTAGTCTTGCGCCAAGAGCTCCAACTGTTTGTCAATAAATGTCAGCCGCTCCTGCCGCTCCTCACGCATTTCCAGGCAGTAAACCCTGAGAGGGAGTGCGCTGGTTACAAGACCTAGGTCCCCACTCGATGAAGCAGAGGAGCAAGAGGGGCTGCAGGAAAGCCTGTGTGGGCCCCAGCTATGGTCCTGGCTGCAGCGAGGTCAGGGGGGCCCGGCAGTTTCATCAGCATTGTTCCCCTCACCCCATACTGTCCGAGGTCCCCAGTTTTTACCGCTGTTCCTGAGCTGCGATGTGCAGAGAGTCCATGATGAGGCGAACTGCCTCTGCAATCTGCTTGGCCCGGACTGTGTGCTGCTCAAATTTGGTCTTCACCGCAGACTGGGAGATGCACTCCTAGAACAGACAAGAGGTGCTGAGGGAGGCCAGCAGGGGCCACCAGCCAAGGGCCACCAGCCAAGGGCCAGGCTCTGGTTTTCACTGCCAGGGACACGGCAGGTGACAGCTGGGGAAGCCCAGAAGTGCCTGACACCAGAATTAAAGGACTCACCTCAAACCTCCTCTCAAAATTCTGAAACTCGAGCATCCGCACTTGAAAGCCTTCTGCAAGAGCGCCCCCTAGGAGAATTGCAAACCATTAGTCTGGAAATAACTTGACAGAAGAAAATGGTGAAAACCCACAAAGCCAAGGTGATGGGGTACTTGGGTAAACACTGGCTGGGGAGCAAAGAGCTGCTCACTCAAGGCTCTCCGCACCAGATCCTTCTCAGAACTATTTTCTACCGGCTGACTCAGCACGAGACCAAACGTCTCAAACATTAGGGAAAAGGCGGAAGTCTGTCCCATCGTCACCTCCTTCAGGCATGCCCTGGGCCTTCTGGATCCTGGCGTTCAGAGCCTCCTTGGCAGAAACAAAGAAGATGCGGTCTCCAGCCTGGCCTCGGTCCACCACACCCAGCTCATCCACCAGGAAGCTGGTACAGCGCTCCATGTGCTGCCGCCGCACCTGGAGCCCAAGCAGACGGCTGTATGTGA